GTGTTACCAGTTAATTCTTCCTCTTTTCCTCCTTTCCAATATCCCAGGAAAGGAAGTGGGAGCCGGTGGTGGGCCGAAACAGCTAGGGGGCCAGGAAGTGAGTGGAGCAATTTGGAACAGCTAAGGAAGATGAACTTGTCTGTCAGTTTGTTGTCCTGTGGTGGCGTGTGTGTTGCTGTGAGGCTGGAGACTATGCCACCAGTGTTTTAAATGCCAACAGGGTCACTCATGGTGGACAAGTTTCAGCGGAGCTTCCAGACTAAGATAGACACAGAAGAAGGAAGAGGCCACCCACTTCTCAAAGAATTGGCCAGTGAAAACCTTATGAATAGCAGTGAAACACTGTCTATTATTGGAAAACTTTACAAATAGCTCTGAAACATTGTCTTACACAGTGCTGGAAGTTGAGCCCCTCAATTCAGAAGGCACTCAAAATACCAATGGGAAAGAGGTGCTTCCTCAGAGTAGAGCTGACCTTAATGATGTGGGACCTCCATTTGCTGCGGTGGCATGAGGCAAAATAAGAAGAAACAGTTACAAGCTTCTATTAATAATTGTAACATGGAATGTATGAAGTATGAATGTAGGAAAATTAGAAGTTGCCAAAAAAATGACATGGAATGCATAAAGATTGATATCCTAGGCATTAGTGAACTGAAATGGACCAGTTTTGGCCATTTGTAATCAGACAACCATATGATCTACTATGCTGGGAATGACAAATTGAAGAGGAGTGGTGTGGCATTCATCATCACAAAGAATGTTTCAAGATCTATCCTGAAGTACAATGCTATCAGTGATAAGATAATATCTATACGCCTACAAGGAAGGCCAGTTAATACTAAAACTAAATTGCACTAAGGGCAATCTACTTCTGTAGTGATACTGCCTTGGAAACCCAGGGAGGGCTTGCTGTGAGTCGGATCTGACTTGATGGCAGTGTGTAGTTGGTTTGGTTTTGGAACTACCAAAGGTAAAGATGAGAAAATTGAAGATTTTTACCAACTTCAGCAGTCTGAAATCGACTGAACATGCAACCAAGATGTGTTGATTATCACTGGTGATTGGAATGCAAAAGTTGGAAACAGAAGACTCACTAATAGTTAAAAAATATGGCCTTGGTGATAGAGATAACACTGAGATCGCATGATAGAATTTTGCAGGACCAACCACTTAGTCATTGGAAATACCTTTTCTCAACAACATGAACGGCAGCTATACACGTGGACTTTGCTAGATGGTATACACAGGAATCAGATTGACTACCTCTGTGGCAGGAGGTGATGGAGAAGCTCAGTATCTTCAGCCAAAACAAGGCCAGGAGTTGATTGTGGGATAGACCATCAACTGCTCATATGCAAATTCAAGTTGAAGTTGAAGACAATTAAAACAAACCCACAAGAGCCAAAATATGACCTTGATTATATCCCTCCTGAATTTAGAGACCATCTAAAGAATAGATTTGATGCATTGAACACCAATGACCGAAAACCAGAGGAATTGTGGGATGACATCAAGAACTTCATCCATGAAGAAAGCAAAAGGTAATTAAAAAGGAAAGGAAGAAAAGACCAAAATGAGTATCAGAGGAGACTCTGAAACTTGCCCTTGAACGGAGAGTAGCTAAAGCAAATGGAAGAAATGACAGGATAGAAGAGCTGAACAGAGGATTTCAAAGAGCAGCTCAAGGAGACAGAGTCAATTATTATAATGAAATGTGCAAAGACCTGGAGGTAAATAACCAAAAAGGAAGAACACACTTGGCATTTCTCAAGCTGAAAGAACTAAAGAAGAAATTTAAGCCTTGGATTGCAATATTGAAAAATTCTATGGGGAATGATGCAGGAAGCATCAAAAGAAGATGGAAGAAATACACAGAGTCCAAAAAAAAAAGGTCAAATGTTCATCCATTTCAGAAAGTGACCATGATCAAGAACCAATGGTATTGAAGGAAGAACTTGAAGCTGCACTGAAGGAATTGGCGAAGAACAAGGCTCCAGGAATTGACAGAATACCCATTGAGATGTTTCAACAAACAGATGCGGTGCTGGAGGCACTCACTCAGCTATGCCAAGAGACTTGGAACAGCTTCCTGGCTGAGTGACTGGAAGAGATCCATATTTGTACCCATTTCAAAGAAAGGTGATCCCACAGAAAGTGTAAATTATCAAACAGTATCATTAATATCACACGCAAGTAATATCTTACTGAAGATAATTCAAAAACGGTTGCAGCAGTATATTGACAGAACTTCGGGAAATGCAAGCTGGATTCAGAAGAGGACATGGAACGAGATATCATTGCTGATGTCAGATGGGTCTTGGCTTGAAAGCAAAGAACACCAGAAAGATGTTTACTTGTGTTTTATTGACTTTGCAAAAGCATTTGATTGTGTGGATCATAGCAAATTATGGATAACATTGAGAAGAATAGGAATTCCAGAACACTTAATTGTACTCACGAGGAACGTGTACATAGACAAGGAGGCTGTCGTTCGAATGGAACAAGGGGACACCACATGGTTTAAAATCAGGAAGGGAGTGCATCAGGGTTGTATCCTTTCACCATACTTATTCAGTCTATATGCTGAGCAAATAATCCGAGAAGCAGGACTGTATGAAGAAGAACGCCGCATGAGGATTGAAGAAAGACTCATTAACAACCTGTGATACACAGACCACATGACTTTGCTTGCTGAAAGTGGGGATGACTTGAAGTACTTTCTGATGAAGATTAAAGACTACAGTCTCCAGTATGAATTACACCTCAACATAAAGAAAACACAAATCCTCACAACTGGACCAATAAGCAGGAGCTCTGGTGACATAGTGCCTAAGGCATTTGACTGCTAACCAGAAGGTTGGCAGTTCAAACCCACCAGCCACTCCTTGGAAGGAAGATTGGGCAGTGTACTTTCGTAGAGATACCGCCTTGGAAACTCAAGGAGGGGTTGCTATGAGTCAGATTCGACTCGACGGCAGTGAGTGTGTTGTTTTTGTTTTTGGACCAAGAAGCAGCATCATGGTAAATGAAGAAACCATTGAAGTTGTCAGAGACTTCATATGACTTGGTTCTACAGTCAATACCAATGGAAGCAGCAGTCAGGACATCAGACGACGTATTTGCATTGGGTACATCTGCTGCAAAAGACCTCTTTCACGTGCTGAAGACCAAAGTTGTCTCCAGAGAAGACTAAGGTGCGCCTAACTCAAGCCATGGTATTTTCGGTTGCCTCATATACACGTGAGAGCTGGACAGTGAATGAGGAATACCAAAGAAGAGTCGATGCTTTTGAGTTGTGGAGTTGGTGAAGAATACTGAAAGTACCATGGACTGCCAGAGGAACTAACGATCTGTCCTGGAAGAATTGCATCTGGAATGCTCCTTGGAAGCGAGAATGGCCAGACTTACCTCACTTTGGTCATGTTGTCAGAAGGGAACTTTCTCTGAAGAAAGATCTCATGCTTGGTGAAATGGAGGGTCGGTGAAAAAGGGGAAGGCCCCCAATGAGATGGAATGACACAGTGGCTGCAGTGATCGTGGGGCTGACACAGGACTGGGCAGTGTTTTGTTCTGTTGTCCATAGGGTTGCTATGAGTTAGAGACGACTCGACGGCACCTAACAACAGTATCCCGTCTTCTCATAGGATCCAGCTGCTATTAGGAGGTTTGCTCATCGCTCCCCTCCTCCCTCCACTCCCCCTTGTACAGAGTTTTCTGCAGGGAGGGATGGGAATCACTGGGTCTCCAGGAGTTCCCCAAGCCGCGTGCCAGTTGCTGGGCGATGCTGCCCTCTAGTGCCCACTGGGTGGAGTGCACCTGATGAGCCCAGGGGACCGCGGGGCCTCTTGTCTTTCCTTCTCAGTCTCAGGTCGTTGTGGGGGGAGGCAGGAAGGGGGAGGTGGACTTTGTTCACTTTCCTTCTGAACGCGCTTGTGTGCACTTGCGTTCTGGACTTTTCTAAATCCAACAGGGTTTCTGTGGTCCTACTTTGTGTCCACCAAGCAGGCCCTTCCAGTAGGGGTGGGCTGCCAGCTGCCTGCTGGGTCCCCTAACCCCCAGGACAGGATGTCATTCCTCTGGCCAGCTCCTGAGAGGAGAACCTGACCCTTTTGTCTGCTTTGGCCTTGAACAAGCAGCCTGGGCTACGCTGCCCGCTAGTGGCAAAATGTCCAGACCAAAACCCACCAAGCCAGTTGCCCTGGCGACCCCGTGTGTGTCAGAGTAGAACTGTGCGCCACAGAGGTTTCAATGGCTGAGTTTTCATAAGTAGATTGTCAGGCCTTTCTTCTAAGGCACCTGTGTATTTGAACCGCCAGCCTTGTGGTTTGCAGCTGAGCACATTCACCGTTTGCACCTCCCGGGCTGTGCAGCAACATCCAGGCTGATTTATAACTGACCAGGCCTTTTCAGTGACTTCAAGTATGTGTGGCCATGAGGTTGGGTCTCTTGTGCTCCTGGTCAGGATTCCCACCTTGGGCTGATAGTGGGACTCCTTGGGCCAGACCAGTCCCACGGACACATGCACACCTGGGGACCTTACCTGGGTCGTGCACCCCTCTGCTCTCGAGTGCTCACTGTGAAGGCACTCGGACTCACACACCGCTTGCTTTGGAGACTATGAGCGCCGTCCCGGCTGGCTGCTGGCTGTACAGCGAATGGAGTGACTGGAGGCTGGTGCCGGCAAGTGCAGCTGAGTTCCTGGTCTGGAAAGCTTTCATCGCCGAGGGCCCTGGTGTAAAGTCAGGGCGCCGACTTCCAGTGTGGCCTTGGCTTTCCAGAGCACATGTCTCTGTTTTTCATTAGTCAATGGCCTGAATCTGCTGGAGGAACAAAGGTGCTTCGGCTTTCCATGGCGCCCTGGCTCAGCTGCGGCCATTGGTGCCTGTGTCCTCCCCCATGCGGCCGGGCATTTTGCTCATGCTCAGAGGGGGAGGAGAATGAGATGTGGCGCCCTGACCTTCTTCCCATCTCTCCTCAGGTGTGGCGCTCTCACTGCTGCAGCCATGGGCTCCGAAGACCACAGTGCCCAGAATCCAAGCTGCAAGATCATGACATTCCGCCCGACCATGGAGGAGTTTAAGGACTTCAACAAATACGTGGCCTACATCGAGTCCCAGGGTGCCCACCGCGCAGGCCTGGCCAAGGTGGGTGAGGGCCCGTCCTTGGCCCAGGTTTACCCCCCTCCATCCTGTCCTTTCTCCCACCAGGACCCAGCATCGAGCCATTCCTAACCTCAGTCATTCACCAAACAGTGGCTGAGCTCATACACTGGGCCAGGGGCTGTTCTAGGGAGTAGAATTCAGAAATGAGCAGCGCAGTCCTGCCCCGTGCATGTAGACAGCTGGGTGGGGGCAGAACAAGGGGAGTGTGGTGGAAGCCAGATGTCCGCCTGGGGCATCCTGGGAGGAGAGGAGGGCTTTCTGAGGGAGTCAGTGCTGGGGAGGCTGTTATGCCCCCTCGTTAGACAGGTTTTGGTTTTGGAGATGGTAGGGCACAGGCAGGGTGAGTTCAAACAGCGTGCCAGGGTTGAGCGTGATGAGGGTGTCTCCCTCTATCTGATTCCCAGTCATCGTGACCAGTCTCATTTGTGTCTTCCCACGGCGTGTGACATGTAAACAAGCATGTGTGGTAACCGCAGACGTGTGGACTTCATGCTGTACTTTACGTTGAGATGTCGATGGTAGCACCCAGCTCTCTGTACATCCACTCACCGTGAGGGTGGGTGGCATAGTCTGCATGTTTCTTGGTGGGCGTCTTAGTCTCTTAGTGCTACAAATACCACAAACACATTTATTTTCTCACAGTCTGGACGCTGGAAGTCCCAGTCCTGGGTGCCAGCTCCGGGGAAAGCGTCGCCCTCTCTGGACTCTGGAGGCAGGTCTTAGTCTCTTCCAGTTTCTCTCCCTCGCTTCATGGGCTGTCTCATGTGGCCTCAGTCCTTCTCCATTTGTGCCTGCTTCTCTGCCTAATCGCCTTTATATGGCAAAGGTGATTGGCTTAAGACACACCCTGTGCAAATATGGGCCCTACACACGGATAGGGTCTCGTAATACAACAAAGAAAATTGTATTCTCAAGTAAGATTATATCCACAGGTTTGGAGGTTTTAGGATTTACAACACGTGGTTTTAGGGGACACAGTTTAGTCTGTAACAATGAGTATGAATGTGTGTGAGGTGAGTGTGTCTGTGTGTGTACGTGTGTGAGTGTGTGGGGGACGATGCCACCTGGTAACTCGGAAGATGAGTCCTCTGTTGGTGTGGGTCTTCTGGTTGTGTTCTGTGTGACTCTCACTTTATCTAAGATACCTAGTTCTCTGCTGGCTGCTGTCGACTCAGCCTGACTCACGGTGGCCCCACGAGGTCAGAGCAGCTCTGTGTTCCAGAGTGTCTCCAGTCAGGCCTTTCTTTTGAGGTGCCTCTGGGTTAAGGGCTGAGTGTGTTACCCATTCACACCACCCAGGGATTATTTTTTATAACAGTGGGTGGCAAGCATATTCTATCAACGGCCAGATAGTTGAATGTTTTTGGCTTTGTGAGCCAAATGGTTTCTGTCACACCACTCATTTTTGAGCCACTGTAGCTTGAATATGGCTGTAGACTACATATAAATGAATGGGCATGGCTCTGTGCCAATAAAACTTTATTTATGGACATGGAAATGTGAATTTCGTATTATTTTCATGTGTTGTAAAATATTCTTTTGATTTCCGTCAACTATTAAAAATAGAAAAGACATTCTTAGCTCACAGGCTGTACAAAAGCAGGCAGAGGGCAGGCATGGTCCAGGGCCCGCTTTGGCCCCCGGACTGTAGTTTGCAGACCCCTTAAACAGTACGTGTTCCTGAGCTTCAGTGAGGAGATCAGTCACATCTTCCTTCCTCCCTCCTCCACTCTCCCCTCACTGTCTGGTCTTGGCTGATTTTGTTAGTTAATAACCATAGTTATCATCTCCTTACCTTCCTCATACTTCTAATAATAAACTTACACTTTTTTTGTTATTGTTGTTGTTGAAAGTGTGTATGACAATAGATATACCAGTTTCTATGTGTACAATTATGTGAATCTATGGCATTCTTCTCTGATTGTGCATTCTCACCCTTCTTTTCTGAATTGTTTCTCTTCCCTTCATATAAACTCACTTCCCCTTCAGTTTCCTCTCTAACCTTTGGGTTACTGTTGTCACTTTGATTCCATAGAGCTAGTTCTTACAAGAACACAGTGCTCGAGACAGACAGTCTTCACTAGTGAAGCTAAACCATTGTTCGGTGTAGACAAGACTTCAGGGGATATTTTTGGTTGAAAGTTTAAGGTGAAGATTGTTTCACGGGCTCATCTAGCCTCTATGACTCTAGAAAGTTACGGTTCCATGAGAATTTGAAAATCTGTTCGTCATGTCCTCCCTTTTGATCAGGATTCTTTCTGGAATTTTTGACTAAAATATAAACCAACAGCTTTATTCTTTGATTAATTGGCTTTAAAAGAAACATAAAGCAGTGAGCCCTTCTTTTTCCACTTTCCCATATCTCTTCTCTCCTCCCCACTCCCTCCTGATTTTTGTTCATTAGGCATTGTGATAGTAAAGACGTGACGGAACGACTGCAGCCGGGTCTGGTGGTGTTTTAGCCTTAGTTCAGCGCTCAAGGCCAGTGTTCAGCCAGTTGTTTTTGAGCTGGCTGAAGTCGGTAATCTTGAGAAGGAGGCTCTAGAACCCGTTGCTGGTGTTCGTGTAGGTTTGGGGCTCTTCTCCCTGACTGATGGAGTGGCTGGTCTGAATTACTGATTACACTCCCCACCCTGGGGCTTGGCCTCCTGGCTGCCTTCTCAGGTTCCCTGTTAGGGGGAATTCCGCACCCTGCCTGAATCCCTGTCTCAGCCCCTGTGTCCATGGAGTGAGGGGACCTTCCTTTGTCTAGAATCCTGCGAGGCTTTGTCCATATCTCTGGACTTGCCCATCTTCCCCAGGGTTCAGCAGGTCTTTCTGTTTGGGAATTCAAGTCGCCTTTGATCCCAGGAGAGTCGTTGGAAGCAAAGATCTTGGACTTTTTGTTCTGTTTCCTTTGGCAGAGACGCCTTTAATTCCCACCCCGTCACGTCCCCTCTGCCTTGTTCCCTGCCCTCATTCCTCACACTCATCTCTGTTTTCTGGGCCTGGCCACCTGGTCCCTGGCCATTTCTGGAAACTTCTGTTCTCTGTGCTGCTGCTTTTGGTGCACCTGCACTCTGGTGGTGGCCTCTCGTCTGTGTGGCACTGCACTGCCACCCCCCCCCCCCCACGTCCCCATTTCTCTGCTCTGAGTTTCTAATTCAGCTGGACCAGTTTGTTGCTGATTTGAACTGACTAGAAACCATTTGTCCTGGAGATCTGGTGAGGCAGATGTTTTCAGGGGTACGTTTTTCTTTTGTGCTTGTCTTGCGTGTTCTTTTTCACGCTCACTAAATAGTTTCCATTTGTTGTTTTCTTTTTGATCAGAATTTGCCTTTGGATGTGAGAACTTTTTCTGAAACTGGCTAAGGGGGCAGGGTGACCTGGGAGAAGCCCCCCAGGCAGTCTGTGTGATGGAGGGGACATGGGAGTGCGTGGGCATGTGTGAGTGTGGATGGTGCTCTCACCCCTGCAGTCAGCTGAGAGGCCTTGGCATCTGCAGGCTCACATCTGACATGCTGTGTGCACCCCCCACAATCTGTGCACATGGCATCTGTACTCGTTCACACCCCCTGTGCCTGTGTACACCTTCCCACACCCGCATACACACAACTGCACAGTCACACACCCCGTGTGTATACTCCCACAACTGCACACACACCTGCATGCGTATACCTGCACATCTACTCACACACCCATTCACACAACTGTATACTCACACCTGTGCACACCCCCACGGCTGCACATACTCACACGCACTCACGAACATGCTCATCCCCCACACACCCATGTGTACATTCACACTTGTAGGCCCCCACCTCCCTGCTCCTCTCCTGGCTCATAGGGATATCACTGTGGTGCCTCTAGCCACCCAGCTGGCCTCCCTGTTACTCTGCAGGGACAGATGGCTCAGGGAAGTGTCTGCTCCGGCCCCAAGCAACCCCTTATTTCAGACTAGGGCCCTGGGTCTGCCCCTCGGGCTGCCAGCCTCCTGACTTGGGGGTCCCCTCTGCCTGCCCTCGTTGGCCTGGATCACTCTTCTCTGTGCCTGTGTACACATGTCTCTGTGTGTACGTGTGTGTGCCTCTGTGGGGCATGCCTGTGTGGGGTATGTTCGTGTGGGGGTGACTGTGGGGCGTTCCTGTGCTGCCCGTGAGCCTGTCTGGTGTAGCGAGCTGCATTGTTTCATCAGAGTTGTGTTTGGTCATCTTACCCACCCTTTCTTGCCCCCTGAGATCTGTAAGGCTTGAGGAGATGAGAGGAGGATGTTGGGTGCGTCACGGGCTGCAGAGGGTTGGGGCCAGCCTGCAGTGGGCCTGGGCCATACTTCACATCCACTCTGGTCATCCTCTGGGTGCTTCTCTACCAGTTCCCTGGCTGCTCGCAGGGAAGGCTGGGGTAGGAGAGGCCAAGGGGAGGGGTCTAGTGTGGGTGGCGGGAGACGGGACAGCGCTGGGGTCCTTCTGGGAGGAGTCGAGATGCTCAAGGACATCTTGTACAGTGCTCTGGGGTGCCTCGTCCACAGTGGTCCTGCTGCTAGGTGGTCACAGGGAGGTTCCTGGCCACTCTTGTCCTCTGTGCTGGCAGAATGGCTTTGGAATAGGCTGGTTCGGGGCAGGAGCTGGCCCCTCGACTCTTGCCCTCTTGTCAGGCCTACCACCTACCACCTACGCCTACCACCTACCACCTACGCCTACCACCTACGCCTACCACCTACCACCTACGCCTACCACCTACACCTACCACCTACCACCTATGCCTACCACCTACCACCTACGCCTACCACCTACACCTACCACCTACGCCTACCACCAGCTGCCCAGGTGCTCCCAGCTGGGCCACACGGCCTTCAGTGGCCGTCCGCCAGGTGTCCACTGTCATCTTTGGACGCTTATTCTTCCCATTCCTTGGGCTTGGCTAGGGCTCCTCCTCCAGATACTTCCAGTCAGGTTGCCACCTTGGCCTGTATGGCACTGAGGGGCAGTCAGGATACCCCAGGTTCTTCCAGTTGATTTCCCCCAAATAGTCACTGTCTGAAGATCCTCCTTTCAGGGCCCATGTGTCTTGGCAGATATGTGAGGGTGTCAGTCTTTGGAACATTCCTTCCATCCTGAGGGATTTTTCCTGTCTCACATGGGTGTAGGTTGACCCTGTGTTCATGTAGCATTTGTTGCCCCCATTTATCATGTGTCAAGTGAAGTGTGGTTTCCTGTTGTCAGTTGTCTAGTTGCCTCTCACTCCCAGTGACTGTATGTACAAGCAGGATGACGCGCTGCCCGGTCCTGCGTCATCTTCATGATGATCATTTGACTTGAGTCTGTGGTGAGGCCACCGTGAGTTCCACTGCCTTCCAGCCCAGGGAGCCTGTTGGCAGCACTGTCAGTGACAGTGCTCTGTCGGGATGCACTGGGTTTCATCAGCTGATGTTCAGGAGATCACCAGGCCTTTCTTCCTAGTTTGTCCTACTCTGGAAGAATCTCTGGAACCTCTCCACCATGGGTGACCCTGCTGGTATTGGAAATCCTGGTGGCAGAGCACATGAGCCACCACAGTACGACTGACAGAGACAGTGTGGAAGTGTGGTTTCCAAAACTCATTGCTATCAAGTTGATTCCGACTCACAGCGCCCCTAGAGGACAGAGTAGAACTGCTCCATAGGGTTTCTAAGGCTGTCAGTTTTTACGGAAATAGAGTACTACATCATTCTCTTGCAGAGTGGCTTACGGATTCGAACCACAGACCTTTCTATTGGCAGCTGAGAGCTTAACCAATGTGCTGCCCTAATTGGTTTTCACAGATTGGGGGTAGAGTGTGTAGCCATTCCTGGGTCTCAGAGGTCTGTGCTCTAGCGGTGCCTGTTACACAGTCTGTAAATGAGCAAAGTAGCCTGAGGCTCTATTTTGAAAGCATACGCCAAGTTTGGACCTGGCATTTGGATTCCTTTAGCAGACTGGGCTTCTGGCCACGTTTCCTCTAACAAAACAGAAGGGAATTCCCAGGTTCCCCTTGACGAGTACTGTCGGTGTGGACTTGGGACTCCTCCAGGTTCCGACTGAGGGGCCCATGGAACTGCTGCAGCAGGAAACTCAGGCTTTGGGTCACAAGGTGCCAATGCTGCAAATTAAAGAGCAGCCCAAGTTCATGGGCTTGGACTTGTATAACCCATCTCCCTGTGAGACCGTCTTGTGTCCTGGAGGTCTGGGCCACCTTGTTTTTATTTTTCTGCTTCTGCGCCATCAAACATCTTTGTCTTACCTCTTAACTTAATCTTAACTTAATCTTAACTGTAGACCAGCTGGGTGTGACCCATGTACTCTGTGGTCATGGCCTGTACAAACACAGGCCACAGACACCTGGCTGTTGTGGGATGCAGTGGTAGTGGGCAGAGAAGAAAGCCCCGGACGCAGGCCATCTCCTGATGCGATGATCATGTTCTCCAGGAGGTGGCCCCTCCCCCACTTAAGGCTAGGCTGGCTGCTCATCCCGGCACCGTGGATGCAGATGGATCCTTCCAGGGGGCAGCGTCCTGTGTACTGCAGGGCGTTGAGCAGCATCCCTGGTCTGCACCCACTCGATGGCAGTAGCACCCTCCCCCTCCAGTTGTGACACCTGCAAATACAGGCATGGCCCTGTGTTCCCAGGGACCAGATTGTGGGCTGAGAACCTGCCCTGTTGGTGGGGGTGTACTTTGGTAAGCAGCCTGCTGCTGACGGCAAAGTAGCACCTCGTGTTGTCAGCAGGCAGCTGGAGGGGCAATGTTTTCTGTCAGGCAAACCACTTCTTACATCAGTGTGACGCCACAGTCCTCGGGGGCAGTAAATGGATGCCAGCCACTCTGGAAGCTGTCAGTGAATGTTGGTCCAAACCATTATCTTTCCATGTTGGCCCTGAGCTGGCCTCCATGCTCCTAGAACTTTTAGCCAAGGAACTGGAAGCAGTTGGTTTTGTTCCTTTTCCCAAAGCCAGCCACTTGCACCTTGGAGAGAGACTTGGGCTCCTATCTCACGCCAGAGTCTGGAGTCACCAGCCCTGCATCAAGTGTGGGGCCTGTACCAGGACCACAGTGCCAGCCGGGGCCTGGCCTAGTGTCCTCTCCTCAAGACTCATCCCTGAGGCTCGCCCCTGATCTGAGGAAAGAAACAGACAATGAAGAGGCCGGGTAGCTTGGTGGAGAGGGGTGGGGGCTCCAGGGCCCCAAGAGCCAGGGCCCCACACTCCCTTGCTGACCTTCTTTTTCTCACCTCTTGAATGGGCCTGTGACCCACCTAAACCCCTCAGGGCAAGTAATCCCAAGACAAAGGCCAAGAGGGTCCTGAAACACAGTGTCTGAGCCTGGCTGCCATTGGCCTTGAAAGGTTACCACCATCATCCCCCTGCACTGCCTTCTCTGTGTGTCTCGACTTCTGAGCTGACTCTGCCCAGCACGTGCTGTGCCTAGGGCTAGGTGCCATGGCTGCCTCAGGATGCTGGAGCGTGGTGGCCATGAGCCTGCTTTTGAATCCTCGTGCCACCACCTACCAGCACCTTGTTTATTCTCTCCATGCCTCGGTTTCCTCAGCTGTCAAGGGGACCGACCACAGCTGTACCCCCTCAAGGGGTCATCATTATGAGAATGGGTGTGCCAGGCCCCAGGCCCATCTCAGAGGGACCATGTCTCTTGTCACTGCTCCGTGGCATCAGCTGCAGCCCCCCTTCCTGTGCCTGGCTGTGACCTGGTGGCTAGGGCACATCCCAGAAGCCCAGATACTCAGCCCTCCCCGCCAGCCCCTGGTGTTCCCTCATGGAAAGAGGCGGAACCTGCTCGGGGTTGAGGTGTGGCAGCGCCCACTGACCAGGCCAGGGTGCCGGTGAGCCAGCTGCACTTGTGCTCAGGGTGCCCTTGTCGGTGAATGCATCTGGTTGTCCTGCTGGACTGGCAGCTCGCAGCCCCGGGCTTGGGGTGCCCGCCCTGTTTCTCTTACCGTCTGTCCTCACTTTCGGTGCAGGTGTCCTGGGCTCCGCAGCAAAATGCACAAACTGGGCTTACCTGGTTTGTTCTCTCACTGTCCCAGAGGCAGAAGTCTGAAAGCAAGCTGTCAGCTGTCTGGCTTCTGAAGGCTCTGGGGGACATGGCCTGGCTTCTTCCAGTGCTTGGTGCCTGCCAGCGACCTTGGTGTCCTTGGCTTATGGCTGCATTGCTGCAGTCATTGCCTCCACTCTCACAGGGGTCTGTCCCCCTGTGTGTCTGTCTGTGTCTTCTCTTCTTATCAAGACACTGGTCCTTAGGTGACTCCCTGCTCCTCCCACTATGACCTCAGCTTAGCCTGATTTCCACAGAAGGTCCCGTTCTGAGGCTTTGGGGTACATGAATTTGGGTGAGACTCTTCACTGGTGGCACAGTGCTTAAGGCATTTGATTGCTAACTGGAAACTTGGTGGTTCAAACCCACCAGCTGCTCTGCAGAAGGAAGATGGGGCAATCAGTCTACTTCCGTAAAGATTTACTGCCTTGGAAACCCATTGGGGGGTCTCTGAGTCAGAATTGATTCGATGGCAGTGTATTTTTTTTTTTTTTTCTATTCAATCCAGCACAGTACTTTAAACTTTGTAACTTGGTGCCTCGTTTCCTTATCAATTCTGACATTTATCTTCTGCCTTCCTGCCTGGGATGTAAGACCCCCTAGGGTAGGGACCCTTGCTTTCTGGTGCCCCACCCCCACCCCTGGTAGGTGCTCAGTGAAGCCGGGGCCCAGATGAACATGGCTGCCTGTAGTTCTTCAGTCTCTTTGCTTATAAAGTCTGCGTGGCCAGACAGCTGTCCCAACTTGTCATGTGGCATGAGTGTGCAGGGCTGTGCTCTGGCGCTCGTGTGTGTGGGATATGTCTTCTGGGGCACATGACAGGGAGTCTGGGTTATGAGCACACCCAAGTTCAGATGTCTGAGGCCCCAGTGCACACACACACCCAGTCCCCCCTTGTGGTTGTTGGCAGCTCTCAGTTGGCTCCTGACGACTCACGGCAACACAACGGAATGAAACGCTGCCTGGTCTTGTGCCATCCTCATGATTGGTTGCAGATCGGACCCTTGGGATCCATAGGCTTCTCACGGGCTGATTTTCAGAAGTTGATCATTAAGCCTTTCTTTCTAATCCACCTTAGTCTGGAAGCCCCATTGAGATCCGTTGAGCTTCCTAGCAGCAGGGGGCCCCCACTGACAAGCAAGGTGGTGTCTGCAAAGGAGGTGCACTGGCCGGCAATCAAAGCCCATTATTACCTGCTTGGAGGACGAGAACTCTACCCCTGACCCATCGGTCCTGTCTTAACATTTGCCCTGTCCGGCATCACGCAGACCTGCATTGGCTTGAGCCCTGGTGCTGTGCGGGTGCCTTTCCAGGTTGGTGGGCCCTGGGTCCTAGCTGCAGAGGAGCCTGATGGCAGCTTTCAGAGGAGGACATGGCTGTGCCCAAGTGGGGGTGCCCATGTCTGCTTGGCACCAGAGTCATGTTGTTGTTGGGTGGATTTTGATTCACAGTGACCCCATGTGACTGAGTAGAACTGCCCTATAGGGTTTCCTAGGCTGTCATCTTTCTAGGAGCCGAGCAATAGGTCTGTCTTCCTGCAGAGCTGCTGGTGGGCTTGAACTGCTGACCTTTGGTTAGTAGCTGAGTGCTTAACTGTTGTACCACCAGGGGTCCTTGCAGAATCCTGGGAGTTTTAAATATATAGTTTCCTGGTGCTGCCTTAGGGATTCACTCAGTGCATCTGGGTGGGGCCTTGGGCCCTTAGGTGGGAGCAGTGTGTTTCTGCCTTGCCTTATCCATGTCTCCTCAGGAGTCTGTGTGTGCGTGCGTGCCTGTGTGCATGCGGGCAGGGAGGGCAGTGGGGGACACTGTTGTACGAGGTGTCACTGACTCTGCCTTGTTCCTGCAGATCATCCCTCCAAAGGAGTGGAAGCCGCGGCAGACGTATGATGACATTGATGACGTGGTCATTCCGGCGCCCATCCAGCAGGTGGTGACAGGCCAGTCAGGCCTCTTCACCCAGTACAACATCCAGAAGAAGGCCATGACTGTTGGCGAGTACCGCCGCCTAGCCAACAGCGAGAAGTACGTAGGGCTGGGCAGGTGGACACACAGGCAGAGGCCAGGTCCCTAGAACACGTATGTGAGGGAGAGGAGAGTCACACCTTGGAGGGCCAGCATACCTACCTGGGGCCTTGGTGATGTGGCGTCGCAGGTGGTTCCAGGAGCCACTCCTATGAGGCACAGTCCACTTGAGGCCATGGACATAGAGACTCAGGGCACACACTGCCTCCCCAAGAGGGGTCTGGACACTGTAGGTGCCAGTGGCCATTGCCCACCTGTGCTCAGAGCTCTCCCAGGCCCTTGTCCCAATGTAGGGCTGCACGGGCAGCAGCACCAGCCTCACACCACCCTCATCCCTGGTGCCAGGGCTGCATCTCTGCCCTGGGGCTTGTCTCCTACCCTGCAGGACCCCCCACATCCTCCTGTGACACTTTGGGTGTGTGTCACCTCCTCAGAGGCATGCTTCCCTGCACTTCAGGTCCTGGCTCCCCACATGGTGCACTCACAGGCACGTGGTGCACACAGACACACGGACAAACTCATGGGCGTGCATGAAGGTGTAGATAGACACAGCCCACACAGACCCTCATGGGTCCGCATGAAGCACGCAGGCCCCCTTTGCTGCACAAGCACATGTTCGTGGCCTACCCCAGTGTGGTGTGCTCTCCTGTCTGCTTGCTCTCAGCCTTCTGCCCCCTGAACTGATCTGTTTGTGTCCAGCCATCTCTTTGCTTTGGAATGTGTGTCCTGTGAGGGCTGGGCCTGCTCTGTCACTCATTGGGTGTCACTGCCCTTTGGGCTGTGCCTGGCTCCTTAGGGAGTGCTCCAGGTATTTGCTAGGACAGTGAGGGTGGTCCAGGGCCCTCTGTTCTTCATGCTGCTCCAGCTGTCCCTGCTGGGCATATAGTTCCAAGTGTCTGGAACCCTCCCTGCCTGCTCCTGGGGGGAGCACACACGCACTCCCTCCCCCCATGCTCCTTCATCTTCATGGACCCCTGCATATCGCTCCCCCTGGAGTGAACCTTTTCCTGTCAGTAACCAGGTGGGTTCGTGAGCCATGCAGCAGGTCCCATGTGTCTGCTCTCCCGGGGTGTGTCCAGGAGGTGCTTCAGGGCCCAGGCTCCCCTGTGTTCCTGGCGGCTGGGGGTTGCTGGGGAGTCCACCAGGCCATGCTCTGAGCCTCATGCCATGTCGTCTCACTTCTCTATCAGGTACTGCACCCCCCGGCACCAGGACTTTGATGACCTGGAACGAAAGTACTGGAAGAACCTCACTTTCATGTCACCTATCTATGGGGCAGACATCAGTGGCTCCTTGTATGACGACGTAAGTACCTAGGCCCTTTCCAATGCCTGATGCTGTGAGGGTTGTGGAGCATGAGGGGCCTGGTTAATGGGGGGAGAGGCGGGGGCAGGACTCCACCTGGAACACAGACAGTGAAAACTGTGCAGCAAGGGTGACTTTGCTTCAAGTTCAGGCTCTGACGGCAGTGCCAAACACCGAGCCACAGAACAGAGAACAGACGAATTAGGCGGCCTTCTGTCTTGCAGAATTTTTCTCCCCAAGTCATACAAGCCCCACTCACTGGCACCTTCTGCTCCATGGCTGCCTTGAGCAGCCCCACCAAGTTTTTAAAATACTCCTGTGAGGGCATTTCCCTTTTCCCAGGGCCTTTCTCGATTCCTGCTTATTTGAGCACTCTCCCAGTCATCCTGGAACCCAGAGTTCAAGTCCTCAGCCTGCTGGGCCAGCCACAGGGTCAAGTCTAAGTCTGTCCTACCTCAGGTGAGGAGGCCCCAGGGTGTGGGCCTGGCCCTGGCATTGGTCTCTTGAAGGGTGTGGACTGGACATGGGCTTGAGCCTGACCTTGACTCCAAGGCCTGGTAGATGGTGGGGTTATGCAGAGGAGGGTATGAGTGTGAGGACAGGACAGGGCAGGATATGAAGAAGGAGGTGTGAGGGGAGCTGTTTTTCCAGGGGACAGGTCATGTATGCCATTTCTCATGTTTCTGGGGCATTGGATGACAGGCCTCCTGAGGGCCAAGCCCCAGGATGGCCCGCGGTTCAGTTCCAGCATGACTAAGCTGAACCTCCCCTGCACGCCTGTTGCTCGGCATTCTGTGGCTGAAACTTGGCCCTCTCCGCCTTTGTATTGCCCTCTCCAGTTGTCGTTCTGTGGAGCCTTCTCCACTGATCCCAGGCTCTCCCTGAGAGTAGCTGGTGGGCAGCCTGAGTCCTGGTTCCTGTAGGCAGAGAGGTGGGACTAAAGCTTGGAACCCTCCTGGCTGCCCAGAAGGGGGGACAGTTGAAACGGGCTAAGTGTCTCACCCAGGAGCGTTGCAAGGACATGGTCATTGGAGTGGGGTTTAAAATGAATAATTGGCAAAAGTTTTATGTGGTCCAGATGCCTGCAACCCCCATCTCCTAGCTGAGGTAGCTGAGGTGGGGAGCAGATGGCTCCACAGCCCAGGGTGAGGAGCGGGCCCCTGACTCCCCTGTCGTCCAGCCCCACTGCCCACTGTCTCCTTCCAGAGGCTACCTAAGGAGCATCGGAGTGAGTGGGTCATGTGTTTGCCATGTGTGGCCTGGTCCGTCACGCTCATTTTGCAGATGGGAAACTGAGGCCTAGGTTACAGAGTGAACTAGGGCCCTCCCCGCCCCCCACAGTCCAAGGTGTCTGCCACGTGGTGAGCATGTGGCCTGGGCAGCCACGTGAATTGCGCTGGGCACTAGGCTGGGGAGCAGGCTGCTGCTGGTGCCCCTGCCCCTGATCTTGGGCTCCTTGTCCTCATGATGGGGGAACTGACCCCATGGACTCCCTGTGCTCATGTTATGGGAGTCTAGTCTCTGCCCCGCTCTCTGTGGGTTCTGGGTATACTGCAGAGCGATCTCTGCTCCTGCCACACCCAGGGCTGCACTGCCCAATGAGGAGGCTGCTGTGGCAGGATGCTGAGGGACAGGAGCACGTACGTCTGGGCTCCTGCTCAGAATCTCACCAGGCTCGGACACTTCCCCAGGGACTTGGAGCTGATTAATGCCCGTTTACAAGCACTTATGGCAAGATGGGGTTTGTTTGCTTGTGGCATTATGGGCAGATGAGTCAGGGGCAGGGGGGCTCTGTCTCTCTTGGTTGGGCTCTGAAGCCTATGCCACCCCCTCTGCCTGGGGCTCTGAGGAACCGTCACTGAGCTGCAACTCACTTGGCAGTTTTGTTCCTCCTTCCGTGTCATTGACTTAGAGGCATGTGATAGCTCACGACCCAGCAGCAAACGCTGCAGTGAGGCCCTTACCACATGTGCTCCACTTGGAATCCAGAGAATGTTCCAGCCCAGGCAGGGGTGGTGTGTGCTGCTCCTTTTCTGTCCAGGGCAGTGGGCTGGTAGTTAACCCTTCAGACTGACAGCCATAGGGCGCGTTCACGCGCTAAGGAACCCCGGAGGTTCCCACACCAGGGCATGACCAAGCATCTGGGTGGCAGTTTGGGGTTAGGCTGACAGGGTCCCTGGTGGGCCTCTTTGGAGGCTCCTATGGTCCCACCGGCTTTACAGGTGAAGAGATCCGTGGCTCCTCCACCCCCACCCCTGCCGTGAGTGTCTGGGGCAGTGGATTGCTAGATGAACAGGAGCTCTGGGTGAGTGTGGGTGCTGACGGCCTGCCCGCTGCCCTGCAGGACGTGGCCCAGTGGAACATTGGGAGCCTGCGGACCATCCTGGACATGGTGGAGCGTGAATGCGGCACCGTCATAGAGGGCGTCAACACGCCCTACCTGTACTTTGGCATGTGGAAGACCACCTTTGCCTGGCACACGGAGGACATGGACCTGTACAGCATCAACTACCTGCATTTCGGGGAGCCCAAGTCCTGGTGAGTGCTGGCGTGTGGCGGCTCTCAGAGGAGAAACCAGCCCCGGACAAGGGCCAGGGTGAGGGCTGAGTGAGAGAGGACGTGGGGGCAGAGGAGGCTGGGCCCTCTTCTCTGTGACTCCTCCGGGGCAGCTGGGCCAGGTGGGGCGGCAGAGGCCTGGGGGCTCTGGCAGCTCAGGACCCAGTGGCCTGGCTCTGGTTGGCTTCAGTGGCAGCTTCAGTTTACCTACCATGCCCCACCCCATGCTTCCGCTTCCAGATCCCTGGAGCGTGAGATTTACTCTCCAGAATCCCTCATGCTGAGCCATGCCTTTGGCCATGCCTCTGGATGTGGCTCCAATGTCCCTGTGGCACCATCTAGTGGCATCTCCCCGGCCTCTGTTCTGTGTGTAGCTAGGGTGGTGGGCATCTCCGCGGGGCCCCGCCACCTCTGCGGTCCTCAGAGTAGTGGCTGCTCCGTGCCCAGGCGACCCCTCACCCCACTCTCAGCGTGCCCAGGTGTCCCTTCACCCTGCTCTCATTCCACCTCGGGACTGAGTGGCTGCTCCTCTGCTGGTTTGCAGCTGCTGGCCTGCGGGAGATGGACCCGCCTGAAGTGCCTCCCCGTGAGACGGGGTTTCCGTTCCCATCATGGGGGGGGCATCCAGCATGTCCTGTTTCCTTGACTCCCCAGGCCGGTGGTGGTGCGTGTGTTCTCACACCCCATCTGGCTTCCCCTCGAGGAACAGACGCGTGCCATCTCATGTGCTTCGGTGTCGTTTGTTCTCCGTTGGGCTTCCGGAGGCAGCTCCTGCGTTGGGTGCTGTGCCTCTCCTCTCCTCCCCCCAGCTCTCTTAGGAGGTTCCCTCGCCACAGGGGCTGTCCACAGTAACCATCGCTGCTCAGGCTGCCTCAGAGAGGAGCGGACCGCGCAGTGACTTTGCTTATACAGTGTGGGGCATGCAGCATGGGCACACGGCTGGGGTCTGATGGACCCTTGCCAAGGCAGCCCCTTCCCTTGAGGGCTGTGTGGGGTTCCCAGCTGTTCTGGTTACCTAGCACTGCTCTGACAGAAATATACCATAAATAGGATGGCCTTAACAAACAAGAGTTTATTCTTACAATTTGGAGGCTTTAAGTCCAAGTTCAGAGTGCCAAGCTTCAGGGGCTGGATGAAAGCCCCTCAACCCTGGGGTCCAGCTCTGCCTCTTGCTCCCGGCCCACTGGAGCTAGAGGCGTTTCTTCACTCAGACAGCTGCTGGCTGCTGAGGCTGAGAAGCCCCGAGGTTGACAAGTAAAAAGGCACAGTCCTGATGTTACCAAACCACATGGCAGGCCATTTACTTAAGTCCATTGTAAGTCCCAAGGTCAGCAGAGCATATAGGCTGCTGAGCAACGACACGGCTACATGCAGGGTCCAAGCGTGCCACAGGCTAGAGACCATTCCCAAGGCTTCTCCTTATATATGGAAGCAGACCATATCCCAGAGGTAGCTACTGAGCTGCTTGTGGTAGATCCCACCATGGAGCTGATTGCCAGTCTCATCATGGGGAATAACTACCCCCAGCTGCCCAGCCACTCAGCCAGGCCCAGCCAAGTTGACACACAAACTGAACGACCACATCAGCTGAGAACTGCCTCTGAGCAGCTGCGTCTTTGCTGCCATCTTTGCATGGAGGAAAGGCCTCAGAGGAGAGGCAGGGGGATGTCCCCTCCTGTCTCCCCACCTCCCCCCACTTCTGTTAGCATGAATCTGGGCAAGAAAGGAGGATGCTGAGAGTTTGTAGAGTGGCCCACCCCCTTCTCTCCGTGGTATTACGGGCAGAAAGAGGAGTTCCCACACTGTTTACAGACTTTTGGCACCCAGCCCTGCTCAGGCATCCCGTGGAGGGGGCCACTTGGGATTTGGAGCAGAGTCCCTGGGTGGTGCAGATGGTTGTATGTTTGGCTGCTAACCAAAAGGGCTGGTTCAAGTTCACCCAGGAGGTACCTAGTAAGAAAGTCCTGGTGACCTGCTTCTGAAAAATCAGCTATTGCAAGTCCTATGGAGCACGCACACAGGGACGCCATGGATCAGGGTAGACTTGGTGGCCTCAGGTTTGGTTTGGATTTTGGGATTAGAGTCCCTCCCTGCAGTCCCCACCATGCAGCTGCAGAGTGGCCTTTCCGTCTGCACTGCCCACCCACTCCTGCCTGGATCACCTGGAGCCCAGCCTGTGTGTTATAAGAATACACACTAAGGTGCCCGGGCTGCCAACATGGCTTCCCCTCAAAGATCCTGGAAGGAGGTGGATAAACCCTCCCAGGAACTGAGTCTTCTTTTCTTCAACCTCTGCCCCATCACCACCTTTCTTTAGACTCCAAAACAAAACAGTGAAACCCTAGGACTTGGGCTGGGTTCCTTCTCCCACCTCCTCCCGTCTGGACCTAGGAGGACCCCAGAGGAAGCAGCAGGGCCTGTGCCAGCAGAGCAAAGCTCTCTGGTCCCAGAGCCTTGCACTGGCTGGCCGAGGTTCAAGGAGTTGCCCAGCCTGTCCCAGAGGTGGGGTTGGGGCGCTGAGTGCAGCTCTGGAATGCAGGTCCCAAGCTCTCTGGAGGATGCATCAGGGAAGGGGGCACCTAGTTCATGGGGTGGTGGGCCGGCCCCCTGTAGTGATCTCCATCACTCCGAGAGCTGCCCGGACCGGACCGCCTTGTACCTCTTGCTGACTCAAGCATCTCTTGCTGGAACGTGGACGTGGGATGGACACCTTGGAGCCCTGAGCTCTGGCTGCAAAGTTGAGGAAAAGAAAGGGTGGTGGTGGAGTCACTTGGACGGTACAGGGGGCGCAGATGCACCGGGTGACACTGTCAGAGGGATGATGCGAAAGTGACTGTGTAAGTTAATTATTTTTTATAGAAATAACAACAAATAGTTTTCATGAGCTGAGCTTGCGTCTATGTATCGGTACAACTACAAGGCAAAAACTTCATGCTTACTGACTTTTTGAACCTCCAGTCAGACCTGTCGTCCTCATCCAATTACAGTGACGCTTGGAATCGCGTGGTTTCATCTGTGTGCGCTACCAGCATGCGCTGTTGTTTTTGTTGTTGCTGGTGTTTTCATAGTTGCTGATTTTGTCATATTTTCTGGTGGTCTAGCTACAGTATTGTGGTCAGTGGTATTTGTGAACCTGCATCAATAGCTTTTTTGAGAACAAAGTATTAATTCAAGGAGAAGAGGGAGAAAAATCAAAAAGGCTTCTGCTCACATTACTAACAACGACGTAACTGACTATTGTAATCCAGTGTAGCAAGATTTTCCGAAACAACCTTGTTGTTAGTGTTCACATAATCTAAGAAATTTTAGTTTTGTTCTGCTGTACATAGGGTTGCTACGAGTTGGAGCCAACTTGATGGCACCTAACAACAACACAAGAAATACTACATTTAAACAGCTTACAACTATCTTTATCACATGTTACTATATGGCTAAGAGTGGTAATAAATGTTACCAAGGATTCCATATAGTCTGGTGCAGGAGAAGTCCATGGGGGTGAATCTAGGAGTTACTGCATTGGGTGACGGCACCCCGGTGATGCCTCTGGAACGTGGGACAGGAGCCTTTCTTGTCTTTCCACCGTCCATGCGGGCATGTTACTAGGAGCTTAGCTAATGAGTGCACACATGCACCTGGAGAGGGTGCAGCCACCTCCTCACAGCCCTGCCCACCCTCCCCTCCCTTCCGAGCCCCGCCTCAGGCAGGACTGGCCAGGAGTGCATGCAGGCTCTGGGCTCCCGTGTGTGAGCAGCGGTGGGCAGGCAGGTGACCTCTGAGTCTTCTGCCCACGTGGAGTGAGGAGGGCTGGTGACCTCCCTTCGCTCCTGGGCAGTGTGGGCTCTGCTGCACCCCATGCGCTGGCTGTGTCCTGCATGCTCCTGGGGTTGGGTGCCTCCGCTGCTGGGATAGAGGCTGCGTTCTGGCCCAGCACATGCACACGAGGGCTGGGGGCTGGGGGCTGGGGGCTTGGGGCTGGACCCCACAGCCTTTTCCCCAGCCCATGGGACAGAAGCACAGATGGAGGCTGGGTGTACGTGTGTCTGTGTGTCTGTGTGTGTCTCAGGGTGTGTCTGTTTGTGCATGTGTGAATTTGTGTGCATATTTGTGTGTATATCTTTGTGCATGTCTGTGCATGTGTCTCTGTCTTTGTCTCTATTTGTGTTTGTGTCCATTTGTGTCTCTGTGTACGTCTGTCCGTGTGTCTCTGCATGCATCTGTATCTCTTGTCTGTGTGTCTTTGTGTGTATGTTGTGTGTTTAGAGCCTGGCTCAGCTCATTGAATGGGTGGTGCTGTTTGGTGCCAGGCGGGCGGGCACATGGTGGGACCAGCAGCGACCTGGTGACTCAGACATTTCTGTGAGTCCTGCCCCGTGAGGGCCGCTAGGTGGCGCTCCCGCCTTGCCCGCCGCTGCAGTGTCTAGGCTCTGCTCATGGAAATTTCCCAGGTTCTTTCATCCTTTTTATAGACTCCTCAACCTGGCACTGATCATTCGAAGTCCCTGTGGGCTAGCAGTGAGGAGAGTCAGACTGCGCACGGCTGAGGCCGGCGCTGCGTCCCTCAGCCTGAGTGGACACACAGTCTTGCCAGGGTCTACCAGCTAGACAGACTTTATGGGAGAAAGCCCCACTTTTCCTTAAACAAAAAGAAGAAAGAAAAACGTTGCTGCTGTCCAGGCTGTGTCCCCAGCATGTGTCTGCTGAGCTTTGAGCTAGGACTCTGCCATGCCTTCACCTGTTTGGGGGCTTCAGGCTGATTTGGGGACCAAGTGCCACTCTCCCATGGGCATGCCACCTCGCAGGGGGCAGTGAGGGTTCCCAGGGGTGGCCCTGGTCACAGGCGAGTCGAAGCCTCCTAAGAAGGCTGCAGCAGGTGCTTCTCTGGGTGGAGCAGGCACAGAAGGGCCGGCCCTAGGCTTAGGGCACAGCCCCATGGAGGCCCTGAGACTCGGGCAGAGTGAAGGTGTCTGCGAGGGGCTTCTTTA